GTCCACCTGCTTTTAAAGGTACTCAGTGCGAGTATGAAAGAAATCCATGCGAAGATGAAGTTGGCTGTGTTCCATTTTCTTGTGTGCGAGATCCACGAAATTTAGAGTATGGTTTCCGGTAAGTATTTTATGTCCAGTTTCGGTAATAACTCATTTTAAGACAGAATATTAATATCTCAAATTAGATCGTGAACAAATGGTAAAATAATTCCAGATTAAGAAGGGAGCGAATGGCTATGATATAAAAACAAACTAAGAGGTCATTGTTCGCCTACTTCAGATTTTTTTAAGAGAATGTGAGCTAACTTGCGAAATCAATGATTAGGTTAATTAAGTGATATGTAGTTTCAATCTACCGATGAATAGTGCTTTATCCTCTGAGCTGAACGGTTTAAATGGCTTTGCGCTTTCACTCTCGACAAAGTCAGGGTCACCAGTTTCAATTATAATTTAGTTTTTAAGACTATTCCAAAAGCAAAAGATCAGTCAGTTCCAATGACTTTGTTTGTGACTAGTTGTCTAGATACTACTGAAATCAATACCACCTGAATAATCTAGTTGAATAACTGTGTTCATTGGAAGTGATGGTTTTCATGATACGGGAACAAGTTGGTGGAATGATGATTCCCAACATAATTGGGTTTAAGTGTATAGTAACAGAGAAAACAATGTGAAAATTTGGAGATATAGTCTCGTAATCAAAGAGCAGAAAGGCATCACGACAGAATAAAACAACCTCAGCTGTCCTATGATTTTCAGTCTATACCACTCAGTAACCTATAAAACAGACACAATATATTTAGGTTCAATAACAAGCACTGACAAATTAACGGAAGTTAACGATCAAGAACACGTTAGTTTGCTCGGCTTCCTCCCTTGCATTCTTCGTGCTCTTTAGGTACTCAAAACCGAAGATGGTGGGATTGGAGTGGAAACCTGCAGTTCAGTAACTCAAAATTCAATCTTTAATCAGTAGCCAACATCCACTTATTCGAAAAACTGCTAACTTTCCATATATGAACTACATTTGTCTATCGCTTTCAGTATGCTGTTCCTAAATATTGTGAAAATTTGTTTAGGAACTGTCCTGTTTAGTGCAGAATAAACTGCAGGTCGTTAGTTATGTAGAGTTCATCACGAAGACCTTCTTACTTCCACGCGAATCTTCACTCCTAACTTAAAAGAAATCTGTCTTCACTATCAAATTCAAATCCCTATAACTTAGTGGTATTGGTTGTTTGAATCTCCTCACTGATGTTCAGGACTACAGTCGGTTGGGCTCAATTGAGCAGCCATATTGTTCAATATAACATCTGAAAAACATCCAACTGTTCAATATCTAACCCACTAAAGATTTGTGTTTTCACAATTATTTTCGACTAATGCCTGTGTCGTTCTTGGAAGCGATCTCTACTATCTGTGACCACGTCTCTAATAAAGGCGCACTGGTATGTTTGACTTTGTCAGAAATCACCCAAATAGTATCTGTTCTATGTAGAAAAATACACTTACTACTGAGATAAACTGTTGGATATTATTATTCATAAAGACAGAACCAGCTAGTCAAATCCATTTTTCTATCGATTAATAAAAGTCACCATTCACAAAGTCTTTTTAAGGTCAGTGATTGAGCTTTGATGGCTCAATGGGTTTTCATACCACTTAAATTGTACACTGGATCTCAGATAAAAGAAAAACATGATACAATGTTTACCGTGTCAGACTAACCATAATTAATTAACATAGTTGCGATCTAATTATAAATGTTACTTAATTCCTTCTCTTTTTATGAACATATTAGTTGTCAATGTCCTACAACACGTCAACATCAGACTGAAAGTGAACCCTGGTGTAAACCTATATCAGTTTGTGGTGAATTCAATATAACAAGTGAATTTAAAATGAAAAGGCAACCATGTAGGAATTCGGGTCAGTGTATCCAAGATACTAAGAATCCAACTTTCTATAAATGTATTTGTAGCCATGGTTATACTGGTGATCATTGTGAGATTGAACCATCACCAGCTATATGGAGTGTATGGTCAGCATGGTCTAATTGTTTATGGCCTGACTTAAATGAAATATGCCACAAAAAACCATATCGTCAACAAATACGCACTTGTATAACTAATGCAATCGGCCAAAAATGTATGGGGGAAACAAAAAGGATAACACATATTGGATGTGATCTCAGTGTAGTGAGTTAGCATTACTTATGTACATATATAATATTTCACAAGAAGTTCATCCTTGCAATTAGGGTTAATTTTGATTGGCTTACAATTCTACATAATTAGGTTACATATTATTGTATTGATTGTTCTAAAACAACACAAATGTTTCACTGTAATTACAACTTCGTCTTATATCCTACTCAGTTGATATAACCTAATGATAACTTCATAATCAATCAAGGAATGTTCACAACTCTCCTACATCAAGTGGATTCGGTGTTGCACAAAGTCGAGCAACCACAAACTGAACTCATCATACTCATCTACCCAGTGATCAACTTGACACTCCTACTGAACACATAATCAATACTGAAAATTAGATCAATAGTTATACATTTTCACAATTATTCCTATTTATTTTCCAGCTCCATTCAAAATCAGAGATCAACGTATCACAATCAAAACGTGAGGATCTAATAAACGCATTAAAGCTATGTGATTTATATAGTAAACAATATGTTATGCCAACAAGTGAATATGGATTAAATCAACAATTAATAATAGTTGAAGAAGCCGATGATTGGATTACAACCGGTTTTGAGGATGCACCACAACTACATTTGAGTGAGTCAACAGTAATTGATCAATCACAGTCAGCAAACTGGCCTACGAGACAGGACTATCTACTCACTACAGGATGGATATATGTGACCGTAATTCACATAGGAACAATACTTTTTTGGATTCTTTACATACACCGTTGGAGAATACAACGAAGAGATTAGTCAATAGCCATTTTCATATCGCCGATTTCGGTACTTTGATTTGCTTTACACCTGTTTTGGTTTTTCATCAACAGTACTATTGCGAATTCGCAAAAGTATCTGGAGTGGAACAAACTCTATCTTCTCTGAAGTAGTGCTCATTGCAAATGCAACATCGTCGCGATGACTAATAAAAGCCAACTCGTGTTAGTCAAGTGTTTTGATTTATTTTAGTGATCTCTAGAAGCAAACAGATGTAATTTCACTTAACGACAAATTCAAGTACCATTCAAGCAGATTGTGATGACGTGTTTGAATAGACTTTTTATCACGTTCGTTTGAAAGTAACGAGTTGGATGCATAACCTGAGGGTTTTGAGTTTATTGCTATCAGGGTTATGTGTACGGATTGCTGAGTAGTTCTGAGGTAGCTAACAGCAGTCCTTGATTCTTAGCTTCTCAGAATGGCGTAAGCCCGTTATCAAAAACGATAATCTCCTCATAAGTTTCATAACCACTGATTCTGATCATTTCAGAAAGTTTAGGTGGTATATTTTTATATTTCTGCCCAGGTAATTGACGTACAGTAATCAATGAACGTACACACTTCGACCGACTGGTCCTTTCTCTCCTGTGAGAATATAACTCATCTGACTTCATATATTCGTTATCAGTTGAAAAGGTATGTCCCTGCCACTGAGACAGACGTTTTTAACTGAGGTTTAATGATACTTTTTGTTTATCCAGACCGAATTAGGTGATGCTCGGCTTGTCAGGTCCTTTAACTGTAAACAGACCATCACTATTGTCCAACCGCCTAACTGATAGCTAAGTGACTCCAGCAAAGATTGGTGATTATTTGATTAAACTGATAGTCAAATGTTTGTTGAATCTTGCAAGGGACGACTGTAACTACTAATGATAAATGTAAATGCCGTTCTAAATGGAATAGTGTTGTTAGGAACTAGAAAACGAAGAATATGAAGCATTAGAAGGAACATTTCAAGTAAGAACACAACTAACGAAAATTCTGGCCATTTAAAGATGGATATAAAATGTAATACAAGACTGCAACATGTGATCCCCTAGATTCTATTGTGGCCCTTGTGTGATAAACTTTTAGTTGACAGAGCTATACAGTTTCTAGAACAGTTTGTTAGATAACTAATGAATAAAAGTGAACCTTATGAATTACCCAAAATGTCACGATAACATGAAAAATGACGAGTACATATCGTTTATCAACTCAAGAGTATGGTTAAAATCTATGTATTACTCCTAGTAATCTCAACTCGGTTCAGAAACAACACAATACATACTCATTCGTTAAAGATTTTCTCAATATTACGATTTGAAAGCCACTTAATAAACATGTTGACCAGTTCAATTTCCATGTCGGATTCGTGAAAAACCTAAATATATATGCGAATATTTAAGTATTTTACCCATTGCTAACTAGACAGTGTCATACTATCATGAAACTCTACGATGATATGATGAAAACATACGAATAAATACATTTAAGGATAGTTGATCAAACAGAGTGACGGCATAGTTTTTAAAATTAGAATTCATGACACGGAATAACCAAACTGAGTACAATAGATATGGACCATCAGTCTTGTTAAAAGTCCAGAACACTATCGATCATTACCTCGTTTACTATCAATGGCCAAACCTCTAAGAAAAGGAAAGGGGTATCAACCAATAGTAGAAGGATATCACGCTCTACATATTGGAGCACTAAACTTTTAGGTAGATATTATTTTAAAATAATTAGCTAATTGATGTGATAAAATAAGTTGAAGACATTTTGTGATTTGTTAAACAAAGAGATAGTTGAATAAATATACGGAAAGTAATTACAAAGTCATATTAGTAATAACTACATTTTGTACAAATATACTGAGTGGGGTCCATCAATAATGGATTTGGATGCTTGGATATTAGGCAGTGGATATCTGGCTGTAATGACGATTGAACCATTTTTTAATTCTTTGTTAAGTTTCTGTTCGATAGATCCCATCTGTAAATTTAAATAATTGTAGACACGTAATTGTTTTGCGAGTATTTAACGTTTTCAAGATCCGGAATAGTATTATGAATAAGACAACTATCATACACTAACTCATAATAGAAAAATATAAACAATCATTTGACTAAGTGACCGTTCTAATTATACTGAAAATCTCGTATTATACTAAACAAATAATACTTAACACAGACATTGTCACTAATACAAAACTATAAGTATTTTGAAAAACCCACCAATATGAAATTACTTCTCTACATTTATGTAGTAACGACTTAAGTGCAATGACGAACTCTCTGAAAGCATTGTAGCTTGTACTGAGAGCAGAATGGTTTATGATGGGGGTAAAACATATCGCTTAAAGAGAATAGTTTGCATAAAATAAAATCTATAATACCAGCTATAGCCCGACGATTCTAGGTTTGGTAGTAACATGGAAATACGTTTATACCTATTTTGCACATAATTAGTGGGTTTTTTGAGTCTTTTATAAACAATGATGTACATATAGATTATTTCATGAAAACGACCACAATATACACATCTGCACTGAATGAGTAAACACCTATTAATAATTCTAAATGTAGTGAGGAAAAAAAGAATAAGTAGCAAAATCAAAACCGATTCTTTCTCTTAATTCCACAGCCATTTTTGTATATCTATTTATTATTTATTTAAACACACAAACACTGATACAAGAAGGCACCAAATATATATGCGCCACACAAATCAAACGATTTGTGTGATGGCAGGGATACTGCACGGGCACTAAAACAGAAGCAGTTTGTGTCAATGATATTCTAAATGGTTTTATTGCCAATAACAATCTACATTGAACGGATTTATCAGCAACACATCATTAAATTTACTCACCATTGAATCTACACCAAACAGTAAAACTGTATCATATACAGAAAGATTAGTTTTCCACATATTTTTACAAGCGAAAGTTACTTTGGGTGTAGTGAGTACTTTATTACTACAAAAGGAGTTGATACGTGAATACCAAACAAGCGGACGATTTAACTCTACACCATGAGCAGAAGTGATTTTCAATGTTGGCCGACTTATTAAATCAATTAACTATAATTTGGGAAAAAACAAAAGAAAAACAAAAGCAACTAGACAATAAGAGTACAACATTACATGTGAAAAAAGATTAGAAGTGGATAATATAACAACTACGTACAGCGGTATAGTAACTTTGGTCATACATTTTTATACAGTATAGCTACTCATTTGACCATAACTGGTTAATTTTGAGAACAGAAACTTATCAATCTGTGCCTTGTGAAATTTTTGTGTTACTAGCTCATTGTAAATTTCAAAGTCATTTTGGTCGCTAGTTAGTTTGAAGAGTAAGATAGTTTTTATCCTGGTTGAGGATGTATTGATCAAATATTTAGCCCCCACTAAAAATGTTAGAACTTCACCATACTTATTGTATATCAACAGTCTTTGTTTCTCGACATCTGGCCTGCTTTCAATTCTCTGGATGCGATTGTCTTTTGAACAAGTGTGTGCACGGGGAGTTTATCAACATCTTGAAGACTCTATATACAAACAACTCAGATAGAGTAAGGCCTTACGACTATCTCTCTCAACTGTTCCATTCGAGTAGTGTGGTTAAGCAGGTTTGCCTAGTCTTACACTCCCCAACTTTACCATCGATGACATTCTGGAAGCAGCTCTGATGGATGTAGATAATGGTTGTATGGATCTGTTATCTGGAGAAAAACTTCTCGACCTTGAGTATGTGGATGATATTGTCTTACTGTGCAATCCTCACCTAATCAGTTGACATTGTGAGTAGGCATAGCAAGTGAGCTGCACACTTTTAATTCAAGGCACTTTTAGACGACTGAAAGGACCATGTGTTTGCACTCACTCCTGGAAGTGAACAGTTAGAAGTCGTTGAGAAGTTCGTGTATCTGAGTAGCTGCATAAGTGCTGGTGATGAAATGAATGATGAGACTAATTTACGTATAGTGAAAGTCAGAGTGGCTTGTACCAATCTGGGCCATTTTTGGCACTTTCGCGATGTTAGTCTGACTGCAAATGACCGGATCTATAATGCGTCGACGAGAGCAGTTTTGCTCCATGCTTGTGAAACCTGGTCTCTCTGAGATTATGTTAAGCACCTCTCTGTGTTTGATCATCGTTTTTTCCGACGGACTGTTGACGTTCAGTGACAACACCAGATTAGCAATGCAAGGGTTAGGGAACGTATGTTCATGGACAGTGACGATAACTCAACTGGCGTCACCACCTTGAAATACAAACATCGGTGGCTTGGACGTGTACTACGAATTTCGTCCCAGAGAGTTCCACATCGTGCATTATTCGTTGATGCTCGGACTGGTTGGAAAAAGCGGAGGTGGTCAGTGCATAACAAGGTGTTGTGGTAAGGAAGAGAGTTGTACAAGACTGGCACCTGTCGGTCCTTCGAGACTCTGTTTGGGGTCCAAGAAGTAGTGCACTACAGTGACTTGAAGAGTTGTCCGACATGACTCAGAATAGAAAAACTTTAACCAAAAGAATGCTTGCTGGTTGTGTTTTTCTTAATCGAACTACCTCTCCCATTAATATCACTGTTTTATCACTCTTATATACTAACTTCTCGTGTTGTTTTTTATCGTACCCTTTTCTCTACCTCTTCACTATCTCTTTTATTGTGGCGTATATATATTTTGGTGTCTCTTTGTATCAATCTTTGTGTTTGAGTAATTAAATAAATTCAGAAATATCCAACATAAGGTGTATATTCACATAACTTTTTTTAGTTTATCAAGTTTATTCACATTTTTGCTATACTATACTGACGTGTGTTCATAGCCACTTTCAATTAAACTGATTTGCCAGCAATTTCAACCCATTTTAGAACTATGATTTTCGAATATTATAAGTCGTAATCACGTGAAGCGAACCAAACGAAATAAAATGTTGATCTGCTCAAATCTGTATTCGCGCTCTCTTCATGATAAAATGTCAGTCAGTCACGAAGTAGAACCTGTACGTATGTATATTAGTTCAAGATGCTATAACCCTCTAGCACATAGGGATGAAGTTGTTGGGCCAAACCCCAGAATAGTAGAGGTAGTAACAGTATCAGTGGCAATAGGAAAAATTACAGATAGAAGATACGATCCAAAAAGAAAATACATATCAGTGAAATATAAACAAAAAGAGTTATGAGGGATTTAGTATCAAGGGATTTGGGGGAAGACAAAGGATGGACGCACATGAGCAATTGCAAACGATGTTGAATTTTGTCATTCAAAGTCTCTAACCCCTGGTTACGATAATAACGCGAACTCTAACCAGGTAGTCTAAACCTATTAACATGACCAAGCCCGATTGCCGGTGACTTCATGAACTAGTGTCATGTTCTGTTTTGTCCGCTTCTAGCTTTTTCTTTCAGCCAACTCCTGCACTAAAAAACATTGCCCGTCGAGGTAGGCGGTGTTTGGGCAGACGAAACATATGTCCCAACCACCTCAGTTCATAAAGATTTGCTATCCATTCAATTGATCTCCCACCTTTATCTAGTGCTCTATTGCGAAAACACCAAATGCTTACTCAATGGTCCCAAAATACACGAGAAATGCTTCGAATGCATTTTTGATCGAATACCAGTAACCTACGAATATCCCCAATTCTTAATGGCCATGTTTTACATTCCTAAAGTAGAACACAAAAAAACTGCTGCGCAGTAAACTCGTCCATTGGTTGGAGGACGGATATCTCGCCTACACTATACGTGATGCAAAATGAAGAAATCTAGTTGGGTATTCTGAGTCCATCCCGTAATTTCATCAGACACCAGACTATCAGAACGATAGAACTCCCAAAATAGATTAAGCGGGTCGATGTGTTCAACTACTTTACTCCTTATCACTAATTCGAGTGACGACACTAGCCAATCCGGAAGTAACATTTTACATTTGGGAGTTGATTACGCGTATGAAATTTCAAAAAGCTTGTATTATTATATGGAAGGCTTCTATGTTCAGAGTTCACAAGCTTTTAACTACGACTCACGTAGATAATACTTTTGGCCGGATTAGTACAAAATAAATTTGGATTAGCTGCAGAATTTCAGTTGCAAAAAATACACAAGAAAAGTAACAACAATATAAGATGCCTTAAAACATACTCTTTACCGAGTATCTGTGACAAAACTAGTATATCTGTTTAAATGGGAAATCGGAAATAAAAACAATCCATACTAACCACACGTCCATCACCGCTGCCTAGATCAATTATGGATCCTAATGACTTATCACTTTTTTGACTTTGCGCATACTCCAGAAGCTTGTACGTATTATCTAGCTGAGTCGACGTAGCAGGTAAGAATGGTAAACAAATTCTCCGAAATGCAGGAGAGATGAATGACCAAAAAATGTAGCATGAAGTAACAGTCGTAATCCCACATCCAATTAGTACGGGATCCCAGAGTAGTGGATGTCTATTTGACGTTGATTGGATACTAGAATGTCTGATTATCGACTCCAATGGAGTATCTGTATTCATTTAAGTAACTAAAAACAAAATAAAAAAGAAACGGTGACTGGCGAAACCAGAAAGTTGGTGTGAATTACTTGATAGGGAAGTCTGGGGAGAAACAAAGATGAATAAGTTGAAAATACTGTAAGTTTTCACGAGGTCTGATGGTTTCACACAAAAACCACGTACAATCATTATATCGATATTTGTACAACCTGGATCCACCACAACAGATTTAGCCTATTCAGTTAGCGATGTCTGCTAATAACGTCAGTTACTCTGTACACTATTTCACGCGTAATTTGGGTTACAAAATTCAACACCTTCATGTGCGCTGACTGTTTTCTCTGTGACTTGAGCGTTATTCCATGCACCACTACCATAGAACTCAACATACGATTCTGGGCATTGCTAGTCAGTAAAGTAAATTTGAATAATGATTACTATATATCACCAAAATCCAAATGCAGTTTCCTAAATCCGAAATATGTTAAATAAACTGTAAACCCCTTATAGTGTGGACGTTTTAATGGAATTATAAGTAACTACCAAAACTATCAAATTCTCACGTTTTCACAGAGTATACAATTATCTGCAGCTGACTTTTGATAGCAACCGAATAAGAACTTGGAGAAAACAAAAACGAAATTTCGGAGGATCCCAGAATAGTTGGACACACATGCTTTGTCCATGGAAAAAGATGTTAGCACAAAATATTTACCAGATGTACTTCCCGTCAAAATGTTTTTCATATTGGGCTGAACAACGTGTACCGTCTGGTTCAGATGCAAAAGATTCACTTAGAATATAACACTCGAACACGTAGCGTTTTGTCTAACGTATAGGTAAACACAATGGCACATATATGTGTACTTCCGTAAACGGAAATTTACCGTGGAAAAAAATTTGTACAATACACATTTTACTTATGTTTGAACACGAGTACTAAAATGTTGTAATACTTTTAAAACTTAAGTCTGTCATTATATAATGACAAACTTAAGTTTTGTACCCCAAACAACCAAAAAAGGGGAAATAAAGGCGAACAAAGGGGAAATAAAGGGGTAAATGCTTTGGAAGAGAAAGGGGAAATAAAGGCGATCGCCTTTTTGTTTTGTATATATATACAAAGCAAAAAACTTACTGTTATATTCCGTCGTTTATATGAAGCATGATATAATGCAAAAGAACATCCACGAACACAGGAATGGTGAAAATAGAGGGGAACTTGGTATCAGTTTAGGCGGTGACGAGGTGACCCTGTAATTTATGAAGGACCTTTCGGCGACGCCGAAGTGACCTTGAGAATTACTAACTAGAACGATTAACTAGGACTAAATGAAGGTTACAAAGCAATGTGATGAATTAGAACTATAATTTACAGTTGGTTGTTAAGGCTAGGAACTGGATTTAAGGGTTTCGTCACGAACTGACATCAGCCTTATTGCCAAAACTCTATTTAGTCAAATGGATGAGTGAACTTCGCGTCGAAGTCCAAGACTTGATAAGTACACAGAATGTACCTAAATTTAATAAAGACAGCATGAAGGCAATGACTCATTGGCATCATCCATTGGTGAAGGTTACTGAGCACTTGCTGGTCAGACTGTCGTAAAACGATTGGTGCGTCACTTCGATAATCCGTAAGTATTCCTAGACGCGACAAAATAATGTCAGCTCTAAATTTGATTTGAATTCAGCGACGCTATGTCTGATTGGCTTCAACTTTAGGGTAGCGAAAACGACACCTTAATAACGATCCGTATAAATCAATTCCAGCTTTCGCTTGAATACGACAGGAGGTTAGGTGGTGCAGATCACCAACGTAGATGATCTATGTCGAAATGATTGGAGGCCTACTCGAGTTAGACGTGAGTAGTGTGACGAACCAACTAACATCGAAGTCACACCTCGTGGTCAGCACCTTACGTGGACTACCCCCATTGACGTAACAAGGTACTATAGATGTTTTGAAGACTGTACAACACAAAGGACGTTATTACAGAAATATATTAGTTAAAATAGATACAAGCGAAAGTAAGACCACTGCCGCATGTGCCAGTCCATGGCGTATGATTAACTAATGCGCGTTGCTTGTACATGAGCTTGGCAGGGAGCGATGATCTGTTCGACATTCAGTGATCCAACTGCCGGATGATTTGGCTAGGGCTCAGTGACATTTCACTGGCCCTACAGTGGCCTGTGTTTGTCCTGGCAATGATGATCGCTCAGTTGATCCATTTTTCTCATGAAATAGTCTGCAGATGGAGCTTCAATCATGTGGCAAGATAATGAACTTCTTTTGCTAATGATTCGATGGGAAAGTCGATAGTTAGCTGGCAAATAATTTGTTCTGGGCTTGTAAACTTTTTGAAGTGTCTTCGTAAATTCTCGGATTTGGAAGACAAGAAAAATTTAAGCGTTTCAGATGCTTGATTTCAGTTTGGAAACTGTGATCAAGCATCCCCCAGATCTTTGATATGAAAATGAGAATGGGTTCAGTTTAGCCAGTCAAACATCATACGGTAGCTTCGCTATTTTGGGAATCAGCTTAGTTGCTGCTCTCTGAATCTTTTCCAAACGTTCACTGTCGTTTTTTAAGCAGGGGCTAACCGTTCATATGCAATTCGCACGAATACTGTGTACATAGTCAAAAATATTTGGGCGTCGATATAGCCAAAGGCACATCATATTGATTATAGGGTTCTAAAATCATTGGCGGTTATTGCACGGCAGTGTGTAGTAGTAGTTAGGTATAAGTTAACGGTGACTCCTAAGTCATTGTGTGTCTGGACAACAGGTAGACCAATGTTACTCATCGTGTATATTGTAAGAACCATTTCGAATGTTTTGTGTGTGAAAATCCTTCCATGTATACACTCGTAGCTTGTTCCTATTGATTCCTTTAGTTGTACATTTTGTTAGTCTTTTTGATTCCATTTGAGTTGAAAATATTTGTATTTTATCATAGTTTTTTTTATATTTCTTACGCTTTTACTAAGTTTCCATGTTTCTTCCTGAACTGCATTTATGTTGTTTTACTTTATACTTAGTCTTGTCGGTAGCCATATTGGTTTGTTCCTCCTTTTGATTGTGTTGCTTGTATTGACCGGAATTGTGCATTTTTTGATTGTTAATTGAAATACTCTTCCAGAATTGGAATTGTTATGAAGAAACCAAATATTATCTTTTGAACGAATCTGTGCGTGGTCCATCCAGACAGGAAAGAATAACATTTATTTGTTGTGATTGACTAGATTAGTTGAACAATTATTGGTTGTATAGCTGGGTGGTCATATTTGTTTAGATCTGTCATTTTACGCAATTACTTTGTTTGGGCTTCGACCGGTTAAGGGCGCTTATCTAACCCCCCTAGACATCTATTCTGCAATCGAATCCTTAGTTTGGATCTTACATATGTATCTGTACCTTGATTATCAAAAGGCACCACAATGCACTTGGAAGTGTTTGTTGGTAACTGCCACATTAAAGTCCATTCAGATAATCTCTCCAGGTCATTTTGAAGCCCTGAGTTATCACCTTTACTTTTTATCACTCTCCATATCTTAAAATCGTCATCATATAAGAAAACATGATGAGAGGATACTAGGCAAGTTATAGAGGAGGAACAACACTGATCCCTAAAAGTGCACCTTCAGGCACTCCACCAAGCACAGTTTCCCATGTAGACAACTTGGAGTTGACAGGTACTCTTTGTTGGCGCCCAACCAGGAAGTTTTTCGTCCACAATAATAAATCGCCTCCAACCCTGACATTCCTTAACTTATATAGCAGCCTGTTGTGAGGAACTTTGTCAGTGTAGGCTACGTCTATGAGCAACTTTTGGTCTTTAAGAGCTCACCAGCTTTCACAAGTCACGAACAATTCAGTGAGACATGAATAGCCTTTTCTAATGCCATGCTGCTTTCCCGAAAGAATCCGGTTTTCATCGAGATACGTAAACAGCTCCTTCCGAGTAGTGTTTTCCGAAATTTTAACACCCAAGCTGGTTAGGCTAGCGGATCGATAGTTTTCAGGTGTATGTTTCGTACCGGTTTGGAGACAGGACTTACTATGGTGTTCTTCCAGTCGCTTGGTAGATGTAGAACAATACATTCGACATGAATAAAAGATATGACATTCAACAGGGACCACGCCTGCAAGGCCGACTCATGCCATCCGATCAACTGGAATTAATTCAATTCATCGTTCCCTCCTTCCTCCTCGTTGGGTTTCTATCGGTGTTAAATTTTGAATATCTATTTCCCCAATTGTTTCATGTTCAGCTTTGTGGCCTAATGCCACTACAGTCCTGTCTTGGCAGTATATTCAACGACAGGCGCAATAGATAAACATTCACATAGTTGATATTTCCTATTAAAATTGAATGAATACATAAAGAAATTTTTCGCTAGTCATTTGAGCTTTCGTATTCTTAACAAGTATCATTGGATTTCTGTTGACTTCATCAGGTCGTCATTGAACTGTATCCAGTGTTCTACACAATGAAAAAATCTTACTATTCTGTGTAACAAACGTAATATAGAAGCAGTCACCGTACTGTCAGTACACAAACGAATATCTCATGTTGCAGCAACATCCAACTTGTTGATCCATAATGCGATATGAAATTGTGATGAACATTCCAAATACGCATGAGGGACAAAGAGTAGTTTAGCGGTAAATAGACCCCCAAAATCAATATCTCTGTAAGTCTTCCAAATTGATGCTGACCGCATTAGATGTAGAGAACTCTTCATGTTTTAAGGTTACCCTCGTGCTATCGATAGAAGAAACAAGACAAGTAGTGAATAGGTCTTTATTTCGATCTTCGCGCAGTTACAGTGGAGCGTGGGATTATTTGCTCAGACAAACAGAGCCTCTCAACATTCAATGTAACATAATAAGAAGTATAATGCAAAATGAGGAAAGGAATGAATACTTGAACTATACTGTTTTCGCATATGCTTGGTTGTTTGAGGTCAACTCTTAACCAACCAACCTAAGCTGTTACATTAGCTTCCCCTTAGAATCGACTTCCGTAGGAACGTTGATTCGATTAACTCGGCTATCAAAAACACCTTAGTTCTGTTTTCTCGGCCCAAGAGAAATATAAACTCACTCACTGTTTGTTTTTCAATTAATGACGACTAATTCCGTCAGCAAACAACGGTAGTCCATGGCTGTCTCTTCATTCGCTAGCTTGTCATTTTATTTTGAAGCATGTGATTTCTTCTACAACTATCGCTGACGGTTTGCTACGTGCTCCCAAGAGAAAGTGTAGGAACGTGGAACAAGAATATCTGAGGAAGTGCCGCGAGCGGGCTACCCAACACCATGTTGGTAAGGCACGATTTTTCCATGCTCAGACCGGCTATCAGGTGTTTACTCACCTGCCTCTTGAGTCGCCCTTAAGTAAAAAGTAAAGAAGAATTTACTCCAAAGGTCATGGTGAAAACCAATCAAACTTGAAGAACTGCCTCACTGCCTGCATAAAAATAATAAGATACAAAATGGAAATACATAAATATAATTGATGATTTTTCGGTTCCATGTAAGTGATTGGCCTCCAGAACGGATTGGTATTCTGGAAGGAAATAGACATAGTGTAGCCATCTTGTGTACGAAAAAGTATGAAAACAAAAAAATTACTTTTTTATAACGCATATATGTAAAAGTGTAAACTTGCTAGAAGTTGGACTCATTGTCAAATCCGATCAAATGTATGACTGTAAGCCCTCTGACGACCGCCTTTTATAACCAGGTACGTAACCAAGGGTCCATTAGAGTACTCCAAAAAAACGGAAAAGAATATACGGTTAAGGAGGAAAAAATTATGAAGAGTACGAGGACCAAGTACGTTTGTGTCAAATACCTTTTTCTGCTTTGATGTAGGTATGCATGATATATTGAAGCGATATTTCGTCAATTCATCCAGGTAACGAATTATCTGCACCTTAGAAGTGTGTAAGTCCTATTACTCATTAGTATTATGAATGATTAATCGGTGTAAGGAAATATTGCAGTCCTTCCCCCCGTGATCTGATGTGGTCTAATGGCTAGGCACGCGTTCTAGCATTCAGAAGGGCAGAGGTTCGAGCGCGTCTGGGGCCTGCGTTCTTGTTAACCAAAACCTTCTTGCATGCGATGTTTGTTGCCCGTAAGTTGTTCAGATATGGGGAAAAATGATAAGAGGACAGATTGATATGTCAAAGTGCCATATTAGAATAGTATAAGTTCTTTGTTTATAATAATAATAATACTATAGAAATACTACAAGTATGGTAGATTTACATTTTACGTTATA